CTAATCGCAATGATTCTTCTCGAAAATTACAACTGTTTGATGCATGAAAACACATATGAACTTTCTACCCCGCAGATAATTTTTGTCTTTCTCATTTCACAATTCAAGATAAGACAAGTTTTTCACGTACGTGAGATACGTTTTTTCACTTGCCTTACTATATCAGACTTATTAGTTGAAGTTAATACAAAAATTACACACTATGAATCTCTGAACTTTAAGGATGGATTTCTTAAAAAACAAAAAGAAATGGAATATAGTCCCGAGGAAAAGCAAAATCTCAGGTAAAATTCCAGTTGAATTTCACTGTCCAAACACAAAAGCAGACATTCTGGCTAACTTTGTCATTTAATAAGTAAGTAGATCTATCGGAAGGTAATATTTTCTTATGGCCTACGCCGGAGTTATTCCCCGAATCAGTTCATTTAAAATTATCATATGGAATTCGTGTGAATAAAGATAGATGGAAATTTTCATTTGTTGATAGCAATTTAAGAAATTGAATCTGTCATTCTTGGAAAGTTGACGGTGGCAAATCAGGTGGAATTATTTACCAAGTCATCTTCTCTATATTGATTATTCATTTTCTTGAGGCTATTTCGAATAAGTGACAGCTTTTAATGCCATCCACACTAATTAAAATACCTATAGGATTGAAATCTGAGGAAAATCTGGAAATTGAGGGAATATTTTCAAGACAAAAATTTACCAAAATGTACCAAAATGCTATCAAACATAATAGCGGCCAAATTGGCCAGCTTTAGCTAAGTACATGTACTTTAGGATGAGGCCACTTGTCAACAGTTCCAAACTGAACATTCAGGATGAAAAGGGTGGAGAAAAAGAAGTGTAGACAAATAATAAACTGAAAGCTAGAAAGGCGGAATAAGAGATGCTATGCGATACACAATTCTAATCAAAACAAACCCTCATTTGGGTTTGGTTCAGCTTCGCTTCTAAAGACCAATCGATCTCTCTACATAACCTGGTTAGCCTGGCTACACGGTGCTTTATTAAATTGAAGCCTAATTAAAATAAGACTAATCCTAGGATGCTTGGATCATCAAATGAAGCAACAAGGTACGATCGTGGAATGTAAGTTTTTTATGTGGCATAACTATCAATACTGGCAGGTATGTATTCTAAAAGGTAGGTATATATTCATAGAAAATGAAGTGTTAATTTACAAGCTCAGTGCGTGAGATATCATTGTATTCCATTGTTTGGTTTTAATTAAATACCTTTGTTATGAATTAGTAAAGCTAAATGACTAATGAGGTCATAGCTTACTGTGCGATGGTTGACAGATGTATTTCGTCCAATATATTTACTTACTAATTTACAATCGTCACCAATCGTCTATTATTCGTTTCAACTTACCTTTTCCTCCTAATAAATGACTTGATTCGCAAGAATTTCTCAGAATTGAATCCAAAAGCGTTCCCTTCGTAGATGGTTCATCTTGGCTTCTTTGACACATCAAAATTGAATCTTTTCTATTTCTATTAATTTTCTCGATATTAATTACATTTGTCGATATTTACCTGACTAAAACAAACACTTCCACAGAGCATTCCCATATACTTATTACTTTTAAATTTATACTTATCCGTATAAGTTAAAGGATAAATGAATAAGGTAAGGTAAAGTACTATTTCAGTATTTCAGTACTATTTCAGTTCACGTATGCAATACGGTAGGAAGCAAAATCTGAAGGATCGATTGCAGCAATACTATGTGGAAAATATCAAAACAAGTTCGTTCTACTCATATTATATTTATAACAAGTGATAACGTAATGAACGATCCTTTTGATGATAAACTGATAAAGGAATCACAGTGGATTCTTTATCATACTTGTTGGAACTGAGTGTTACTTTGACTCCTTCATAGCTGGAAGCTTTTTTGCGAATTGAAGTATGGAATACCAGATGGAATTGTGACCTAACCAAAGGTCTATGTATGGATCATTACTAGACCAAAACAGATAATAATCATTTCCAACAATTCCTGCCAACAAGACGGATGCGCCATCTGCAATGTTTGAAGATGACATATAATTTTCAGAGAAAAGTGAGACGACTTTGGTCATCATATGAATCTGCAATTAGATACATCACGTCAAATAAGCTTCTACAAATAGTCCATTAGCTTAACAGGATGTTAGAGAAGTAAACATACATCTACCTATGTTATACGATTATGGAATGGTCAGAAAGGAATGAATTATTGATGAATTGGGAAAGAATAATTTCGGAGGAGACGAAAGCGAAGGACCGGAGAAGTAAACGTGGCAACAGGTGTACATTGAAACGCCAAAAGGATGAGAATCTGATATAGATGGAGTAATCAGATTTCTCCAGCAGTCGATGATGGGAAAAAAGAAGGGACAATAAGGAATTGACAACTTAAATTTAGGAGAAAAGGACAAAGAGTAGGAAGGAACTCATTGATGAATCACTCCTGGAGTATCCAGAGGAGTAGATAACGTTGTACTGAAATATTTTATGCTTCGAAGAAATGAGAATGGTCATTTGATAGATTTGAGAATAAGAGAGCAGTGGAAAATAGCCACAATAAGGTATTTATTAGAAGAAGAAAGAAATATTTATTGATGGTCATGGCTAGATAGTGGATAAATAAACAATTAGCAAACAATTAGTTGTAAACATGGTGAACTTTAAGGAGAGCATAAGCTAGGGAATAAAATTACTAATTAGATTTTAATCCATGGGAACAAGATTGATGGTTAATGAGAAGAAGGTAAGAAAGATGAAATCATGAAAAGCTCTGAAGTTAAATGAAAGAAATTGATCCTCGGTTAATAAAAATCTTAGTAATTTATAAGGATTGTAAGGATGGTTGTAGAAAATCTTTCAAGATTGCAAAATATAACCAGGCTAATAGAGGCATAATATCTTCGATGATTAAAGAAATCTATAAGATATTCATACCGCGGGATAATTCAATCGAAGAAAATTAAAGAGATGAAAAGATCGCGAAATGTCGGGATGATCCTCTAATGATAATGAAGGGTATTGATGTGATTGAAGAAAAATATCAATAATCGAGTGGACAGAACAACATGAACTTTGTACTTGAGGTTAAGTTCCAAAGTAGGAAATATATGTTGAAATGTATAATTGACACTAAGTTTAATTCATTAAAGTCATTAATGCTAATTTTAGAATTTTTTATACTTTTTTAGGTTTTCGTATTCGACTTTTCAATTTATTCATCAAAGTGCTTTCGTGCATTTTGTATTGTGTACGGGTCGTTAATGACAACGGGAATCTTCCGCGTTACATCAAACCGGATTATTATCCTCCCGGCGAAATAAAATTGTAAGTGTCTTCTCGTGAATTTTAATAGATGATGGTTAATTCAGAATTATAAATGATTGAATTCTAATTTAATTTCAATTACTCATTTCCAGTTTCAGCGAGTTTTTTTTTTTTCAGCAACAATAGGCTTCTGATTTATATCAAAAATTTTATATCAACAGTGGACTTCTGATTTATATCAGATTTATATCACAAAGAAAATTTTTATCATGGAACAGCAGACTTGTGTTATTGCAGAATTTTTGTCATGAAACAGTAGATTTCTGATATAACAAAATCTTTGTTCTGGAAGAGAAAACTTCTGATATGACAGAATCCTTATTATGGAACAGTAGGCTTCTGATATAATAAGACCTTTGTTATGGAATAGTAGGCTTCTGATATAACGGAATCTCTGTTATGGAGCATTAGGCTTCATTTTGGTGGGAAGATATCGAAATTTATTATTTAAATAGGTCGGATTTAAAGGCTGTCATGTATGCCATTGGAAAAATATGTGACCTTTTTTATTGCAATTGGGATGGATTGTTTTTTGGATTATTTGAAATAAATTTTTGTTTAATATTTGCAGCAAATTTTTTTCATAAATTCTAGTTTAAAGTAAAGAAAGGGAAAAGCAAATGAAAGCGGTGGTAAGAGACAACTTTCATGAGGCGGCGACTTTTCTTCCATTATTGTCAATTGAGAGTAAATTTATTTCAGCCAGTATCTAATATGGGTTGATCGAAAATTTTCAATTTGGATCTGTCAAGTAATCGTTGCATTTTTAAGCATACTTCAAACAGTCATCATATTTTTCCTAAGTTATAAAGTAAGTTTATTGCATGCTATTACAAATGAAAATTAGCATATGACATTTTTGGATATTTATGTCCGACGGATAAATTACCGTAATTGTTTCTTTCAGGGTAGTACATTTCGGGTTGTTTTAAAATTGCATTTTCTACTGGAGTTAATAACAAGCATGCCATTAATCGCTACAGTAAGCATTGCAACTTTTTTTTTTTCTTTCTTC